CACTTCTTGGTTATCAAACATTACTAAACCGTTTGCAGATGCTCCTTGGTTTAATATTTTGCATTTAATTCAGAATCTTGCTTTAAGTCTAAGTAATATTTAAGTCTAAATTAAACACCATTAGGTACAACCTTTATAGTATAAGTTATGACTGAGTTGAGATCAAATTATATTTGATACATAACACTTATCAAAGTCTGTTCTATCTGAGATGAAGAAGCTCATATAGATACAACAGGGTGCCTGAGACAATTAGCTGGTGTTATTTGATCCAGCCAGATACTGATTAATCAGGGTGAGGAATGCGCACACATCTGTGCGTGTGTGGTGTCCACGCCTCTCGTGAGTGGGCTGGGGTGCTGGGGGGTTTGGGTTCAGAGGGAATAGGCTGTCAGCTGTGAGAAATATGTCATGGTTGTTGCGTCCCATGCAGCACATCTGGTGCTCATTGGCAGGATTTTGGATAGAGCATCAGCCCCGACAACCAGGTGGATCTGCCAATTCTCAACCCGCTTCTGTCCCTGCGAGGGTCTCCCTGCACCCCTCCTCACAACACTCTCACTATTCTTGTTTTCTTTCACTCTGCGTCCCTCTAGAGCCATGACTCTCAGTCGTAGTTATTTTATTTGGTCCTGTTGAAAAGGCTTCAGGGATTATGACAGACATGTTCTATATAAGACTTCCTAACATCCGGTTGAGGAGAGCAGCATCTGCCTGTAACATCTGACTGCCAACTCACAGACAGTCCTGCAGGATACATTTCCTTTTTATAAATGATACATTTAAGGCCATTATGGCCTGTATGCACTTAACATGGTTGGGCAAAATTCTGTTAACTGCATGCAAAAAAGAATTGAAGGCTTCTTTTATCATTCATTCATTTACCATTCAGGAATTTGGATTCACTTGGCCACCCCATACAGGATGTTGAATGGAAATGACAGGAAGAAAAAAAGTACTGACCTGTAATTCAAATGCTTTCTCACAACAGAAGAGTTTCATTAGTCTAACAGAACAAACCACTGGGACAAACCATTACATTAATAATATTGACTAATGCTGATTTATATATTTACTGATGTGCTTTTCACTGTACTCTTTTAGCTTATTAGAAATTTCCAGTGTTATTATTAACCAAAACTAAAACTATTAAAAAAAAAAGAATAATAATAAAAATTTATTGAAATATAGCTGAAATAAAATAAAATATAAATATTAGATGAATAACTTACTTTTTTTTTTTTAAATTGAACATTTTTAATTCCAAGTAAAATTAAAATTCGAAAATAATTAAAGGGGTCATATGATGCTATTTTAAAGATCATTATTTTGTGTATTTGGTGTAACAGAATATGTTGACATGCTTTAATGTTCAAAAAACACATTATTTTTCAAATACTGTACATTATTGTAGGTCCTCTATGCCCCGCCTCTCTCAAACGCCTACTGCTGTTCCTGAAACCACGCCTTCTTTCTTTGTGTGCACATTAGCACATTATGCTAATATTTCCACATAGTGACCTAGATATGTGGGGGCGTGTTAGAACGAGCCGTTTTAGGTAGGTGTGGCTGACTCTTAACTTTTATAAAGAATATCTCTTTGGATTTGAGACTTTAGTCTTTGCAACTTTACAGATCTTCTTTATGCACCAAGAGCTTGTAACACTCCAAAGAGAAAGGAAAACTTGAAATCGCATCATATGACCCCTTTAACTAAAATAATATAAGTTTAAGATGAAGTACTAAAATTACTAAAACTAAAATAAATATAAATAAAAGTTAACTAGAAGTATTTAAAAATAAATAAATAATACATTCAATTCAATTCAAATTTATTTGTATAGCGCTTTTCACAATACACATCGTTTCAAAACAGCTTCACAGAAAATGCATGTCTACATTACAATTTAGAGTGATTTGTTATCAGAAGTGAATGTGTCCAAGTAATGTTCATTTCACAAATGAATCATACAATTAGCTAACATTAATTAATTTTAGTCAGATGCACATTAAAGCGATTATTACAAGTGTGATCATAATGATTACATTATTAGATTAGAGAAATTTTGGCAGCTGTGCATGTTGATTCAAGTTGGCGTCATCTGGGGTCCTTGTAGGGTTCAGCAGCATCTCTTCAAAGGTGTTGGGACATCTGAAGTCTTTCTATGAGGCTGGATCCACACTGGAGCTGGCGTAATCTCTAGTTACCTCGAGATGGGCATCCCGGGATAGGAACCGAAATGCAAATGTAAAAGAATTAGCGTAGCTGCTGTTCATAACGTTTCAGGCAAAAAATATGTTTGTGACTTTTATCTGATATAACTGGGAACAAGAGTATGAGATTCATTATGTGAATGCTTGGCTGAAGAAATGTGTCTTTTAATCTAGATCTAAACAGAGAGAGTGTGTTTGAGCCCTGGACATTATCAGGAAGACTATTCCAGAGTTTAGGAGCCAGATGAGAAAATGCTCGCCCCCCTTTAGTGGGCTTAGATATCCTAGGTACTACTAAAAGTCCTGAGTTTCGTGACTTTAAAGAGCGAGATGGATTGTTGGGAATAAGAATGTCAGTTAAATATACAGGAGCTAAACCATTTAGTTCCTTATAGGTCAGTAGCAATAATTTGAAATCAATACGGAACTTAATGGGTAACCAGTGTAGGGATGATAAAATTGGGGTAATATGATCATATTTTTTTGACCTGGTGGGAACTCTAGCAACTTCATTTTGGACTAACTGTATGCAGATGCAGGACAACCAGCTAGTAGTGCATTACAGTAATCCAGTCTAGAGGTCATGAATGCGTGAACTAGCTTTTCTGCGTCAGAAACAGATAACATATTCTGTAGCTTTGCAATGTTTCTGAGGTGGAAGAAGGCTGTTTTTGTAACATATGTAATATGATTTTCGAAAGATAAGTTGCTGTCTAATATAACACCCAGGTCTTTAACTGCAGATGATGACATAACAGTACATCCCTCTAGTTGCAAATTGTATTCTAATAGATTCTGTGTGCAGGTTTTTGGTCCAAAAATTAATACCTCAGTCTTATCTGAATTTAATAGAAGAAAATTACTGGTCATCCAATGTTTTATATCTTTCTGTCAACTTGGATAGTTTAGAAATTTCATCTGGTCGTGATGAAATATATAATTGAGTATCATCGGCATAGCAGTGGAAAGTCGTGATGAAATATATAATTGAGTATCATCGGCATAGCAGTGGAAACTAATTCCATGTTTTCAAATAATGTTGCCAAGTGGCAGCATGTATATTGAAAATAACAGAGGGCCTAACACGGATCCTTGCTTCACCCCATAATTCACTGATGTTAACTTGGATTTTTCACAATTTAAGTAGACAAAATTGTAATGGTCTACTAAGTACAATCTAATCCACCGTAATGCCTGTCCCTGAATACCAGTATAATTTTGTAGTTGGCCTAAGAGTATGTCATGGTCTATAGTGTCGAACGCAGCACTAAGATCAAGTAAAACTAGTATTGAGACACATCCTTGGTCAGAAGCTAGAAGTAAGTCATTTGTAATTTTAACAAGCACAGTTTTTGTGCTATGATGAGGCCTGAATCCTGACTGAAATTTTTCATAGATGTCATTTTTTTGCAGGAAGGAGTACAATTGAGTGGACACTACTTTTTCTAATATTTTAGACCTAATTGGAAGATTTGAAATGGGTCTGTAATTTGCCAATTAATTTGGATCTAGTTGCAGTTTCTTAATGAAAGGCTTAATAAATGCCAGCATAAACTGTTTTGGAATATGACTTAGCGATAGAGATGAATTAATAATATTGAGAAGAGGCTCTTCTGCTATAGGTAACAACTCTTTCAATAATTTAGTGGGAATGGGATCTAGTAAACTTGTTGTTGGTTTAGATGTAATGATTAGTTTATTTAGTTCTTCTTGTCCTATAGTTGCATAAAGCACTGTAATTGTTCTTTTTGGAGCAGTAACAGAGGCTGGATCATAAAACGCGGTCAAAGGTTGTACATTTACAATTGTATTTCTAATAGTTTCGATTTTCTCTGTGATGAAATTCATAAAGCCATTACTTCTAAACTGTGATGGAATATTCAGTTCAGGTGATGTCTGTTTATTTTTTAGTCTGGCGAATGTATTAAATAAATACCTTGGACATACCTCTTCATTTTGTACAAAAATTTTTTTTAAATAAAAACAGAAAAATAAAAATATAATCTAATTAAAATATGATATATACTCTAATAGTAAATAAATAGTATATAAATCATGCAAAAATAATATTGGACATTTCTCTATTTGGCATGGTCAGTTGTGTCAAAACCATTAATAGAGCCATTCAAATGAAAGCAGATTTGAATTTTGCCATATAGCAGCACACAATTTCCCCAGTATTTTTTTTTTTTTGATAACTTTATAAAAATATGTATTTTTATATGTAAGTGCCATTTCAAAAATGTAATTGAATGATGCTAAAGGATAATTCCTATGCAAAATGTAATATTTTATTAAAAAATAAACTAATAACAAATACATTTCAATTACTTTTTTTTTTTTTGCTTCCATACTTATGGACTTATACTGGACTTATGGACAAACTTTGTATTTTTGTTGAAGTCTCTTCTCTGCTGTTCTTCCTGTGTACTTGATGACTTTTCAGAGCAAAACAGGATATCAGTTACACCTGAGTTTTGAGACATTATTTCATCACACTGTGTCCGCACACTTGATTTATTGCTAATTCTTTGCATATCGGCCCATAACGTGGCCAATTGACAACGTAAATCCCACTCACTGAGGAAATGCAAGCCTGAAAACGTTGACCGAATAACATTAGATAAACGTTAAATAAACAGAGAGCTGGAAGGAGCCAAACAAAACAGAGGGAGCAGAAAGCATCCTGTCAGTCTCGGGTTTCTGATAGTAAGTGTTATTTAAAAAGCAGCTGATGTGGGTTATGTTGACCCACTCAAAGCCATCTGTTTCCTTACCTCACACAGGCTGCTCTTAGTGCCTTGAAACAGCTGTCAGAACAAGGACTGGACCCGGTGGATGGACCAATGAAGGTAGAAAATGGATCATGTGACATGTATGTACATACTGAGCCGTAAGTATGCCACACCATCCTTGTATAACACCTCCATTTTCAGATCACAAATGTAAATGACTGCCGACCAGAAGAAATCCATTATATTTCGATGACGTTATATAAATGACAAAAGTGCTCAGAGGCAATCTGGGTAGCCATTACCTTTTATATAAACTGTTAGGAGATTCCCAAGATGATTTAACGTAATGGACATGATTTATTCTTTTTTTCCATTTAAATATTTACAGATCATCATGTTAGCGGCCTTGAAATGCTTCCCATGTGTTGTTCCAAGCAGATTTAGCTTAATTTAAGCCAATATATGGGCCTGATTCTTGCATAAACCAGAATTAATTCAATGTTTTGAATGCTGTCCTGAAATACATGATGTAATATCAGTCCATTACAGAGTTTATTTAAAAACAACTGCCACAATGCGAGTATACAGTGCCGGTTTAATGACTGATTGATTGATTGATTGAGATCATTGTTAAAAGTTATGTAATGGGGTGAGAGACACAAAAATTTATCAGCTTTGCTCATGAATTTTAATTTTGTGATTTGACTGTCCTAATTGATTTGCATAAGGAAAGACCTTATCCGTCTGTTAACGTGACCACTTATAAAGTTGTCATTTTATGTAACCGGCTACAGTGTTTTTTTCTCTGCACTGCAGCCAAACAAAACAAAACTTTTAAAGTGCCCCTATTTATGGCATTTCGAATATTGCCTTTCATACAGTGTGTAACGTAGCTGTATGTAAATGTAAACAATCTGCAATGTTGTAAAGCCAAAAGTGCATGATAAATAACGTTATTATCTCCCAAAAGAAAAAATAGATTCTAAACAGCCTAACGAGTCGTCAGTAATTCGAATCCCACTTCCGCGATGGCTACATGTCACTGGTTAAAGGGGTGGTTCAGTGGTTTTTTTCTAGGCTTGATTGTGTTTATGGGGTGCAGTATAACATGTGTTAATGCTTCGTTTTAAAAAAAAAAACATTATTTTTCACATAATTTACCTTTAGTCCACACTGCTCTGTCCCTTCTCTGAGAAACGCGCTTATCAATTTCATCTTCGTAACTTTGCAGATATTGTTTATGCTCAAACAGCAACATTACACACTAACTAACGTTAAAAAAGTGAAATCGCAATGAACCACTCCTTTAACACATTTGCATAATACCCACCCATGTTCTACATTGGCCAGCCGCGAACAACTTGACCCGCGCTCAAACACTGTAGGTTGTTCACGTCGAGAAGACGTTGTGTCCTACGCTGTAAAAGTAAATTCATTTTATTTTCACTTCCGAAAGATGAGACTGCAAAGAATCAGTGGTTAACATTAATTTCTTCCACTGTACCACAGCAGTACGACTCCAATCTTTTTTTGTTTTCTGGTCATTTTACTGACGACTGGTTCTCTAATCTCGGGAAGTTCAACGCGGGATTCACAAAACGCTTGCTTTTGAAAGATGGATCAGTACCCAATACACAGTACCTGAATCAGAACCTGTAAGTATGATAAATAATAGATGTTTATATTTTCTATCAAGCGTTCAAAATACAGAACTATGGCAGTGGGCGTATCGCTTCTGATATGCGCTGTATGCGGTAGACCAATCACAACAGACTGGGCCATCTGACCAATCAGAGCAGAGTAGGCTCACAGAAAGGCAGACTGAATCTTAGAACTGCTTTGAATGAATCGTTGGGAAAAAAAAATTGAAAACTTTTTTTATGCATGAAAACCTGTTGTAGGAGACTCCCAAAACAATATTAGGAACCTTAAAAATGGCATAATAGGGGCAACTTTAGAAAGTGGAGGGAATTTATAAAGGCATGGCTCTCCACTTATATAATTAACACTCGCCAAGCACCAAATGAGAGCAAAAATCAGCAATATGGTTTAGTGCAATTATCAAATTGCAAAGACTCGTAATTATATAAATATATAATTTGATGCACTTATTTGTGATCTTTTCACGTGAGCCTCTCATGATAACAGTGTTTTCATTGTCTCTGAGCGGTTCGCAGTTAATTCTGCTTCACACAAACTTAATCTCTGCAAGTGCTGTGAGTTTGAGTCACTTATAACATGCACTTGAAACTGCCACGCACACCAAACATCTTCATAAGTTTGTAATGAGAATGGTTCATAAATCTGTTGTCAATGAAAAAAAGAAGTATTTCAAAACAGAATTTTCCCTGCGGTTTTCCACAACAATAAAAGCTCTATGGTTTCACGTTTGAAAGCAAAGAAAAAAACCACCATAAATATTAGTATTGTAATTGTACCGTTGTTAAATAAGTAGCACGTCACAGTTAACTACAGCCTGTTGGAAGGTATGAGCCGTTCAAGATGTCTTCCAACTTCCTGTTTCAGTTGAAAACATGTCAACACAGAAAAGAGAACTACTTATCAGAAAAATAACTACTCATTCTATGACCACATAAAATGACTTGAGTACATTTACAGACGTTTTAGCGGACGTTTTTATCTAAAAATTAATATAACACACAATTCAAGACGCAATAACGCAAGAAGAGGCAATAACACAAGACGTGCTAGCAATACAATGTTTCAAACATCATCCAGAATAGTACAAGCTAGAACATATATATGTAGTTAAAGGATTAGTTCACTTCCAGAATAAAAATTGTATGATAATTTACGCCCATGTCATCCAAGATGTTCATGTCTTTCTTTCTTCAGTCGCAAAGAAATGAAGGTTTTTGAGGAAAACATTCCAGGATTTTTCTCCATATAATGGACTTCAATGGTGGCCAACAGGTTGAAGGTCCAAATTGCAGTTTCAATGCAGCTTCAAAAGGCTCTACATGATCCCAGCCGAGGAATAAGGGTCTTATCTAACGATATATGAAACGATCGGTCATTTTCTTTAAAAAAAATAAAAATGTATATACTTTTTCACCACAAATTATCGTCTTGCTATAGCTCGACCTCACACAATACGTAATCACTCACACGTGATGTAGGCGGAAGTACCGACCCAGTGTTTACAAAGCGAACGTGCAAAGAAAGTCTTAATGCCCTTTACAAAAAAAAAGGGTAAAACAACGATGTTGGACAATTTTTAAGTTGGAGGAGAAAATGAGATGGAGGTTTTCGCCCTACCCTACCTTTCTGAACCGGAGTACACAGATGAAGAGCTAATCGCACATGACCTTTGATTACATAATGCGTGAATTTGCGGACATGCATCGCGGAGCTAGTGCAAGATGTGCATTTGTGGTTAAAAAGTATACACTATACAGTATATATATATATATATATATACAGCTATGATCGGCGCATCACTAATTAAAATACTAAGTAAAAGGCCTCAAATTTTAAGTACAATCTGGGATGTCTTTTTCTATCAATTCTTCAATAGGTAGATCTGGTCTTTCATAAAGGCCGAGGCCAGGGATCTTGGACCTAAAAAGGTTGGTGACCACTGGTGTAGAGCCTTTTGAAGCTGCATTGAAATGGCAATTTAGACCTTCAACATGTTGGCCACCATTGAAGTCCATTATATGGAGAAAAGTCCTGGAATGTTTTCCTCAAAAACCTTAATTTCTTTGCGACTGAAGACAGAAAGATGTGAACATCTTGGATGACATGGAGCTGAGTAAATTATCAGGAAATGTTTATTCTGTAAATGAATTAATCCTTTAACTACATATATATGTTCTAGCTTGTACTATTCTGGATGATGTTTGAAACATTGTATTGCTAGCACGTCTTGTGTTATTGCCTCTTCTTGCGTTATTGCGTCTTGAATTGTGTGTTATATTCATTTTTAGATAAAAACGTCCGCTAAAACGTCTGTAAATGTACTCAAGTCATTTTATGTGGTCTTTAGATAGTACACAATCACACACACACTGTATAGTAAATATCTGTGGCAGGTGGAGCTCCTCTCTGATTTTGAGCTGCAGAGACAGACAAGATTTGTCCTTTAAATGTCACCGTCTGAAACCTGTTAGCTCATTTCACCTAATGACTAAGAGAGAGACACACACACATAGCGTACACACTGGCTGAGCTTATCATTTTCACAGAAACACATGCACACAATATGAATTTTCCTTCACTTCCCCAATCTCTCCGCCCGCAGTGGAAACCCTCACGCCAGTCCACTCCATGTCTTTGCATGATCTTTATCCTCCCGTAATCAGAGGGGTTGCTGTGGGAGTAATGAATCTCTGTCATATCCGTGATGAACAGAGCACTGGAGAATGAAATACGAGTATGGAAATGATAGACACACCAGAACGGAAATCTCACCAACCCGTTCAAGAATATTTTCATAGTAGGTGTGCCGTAGGAAAAGGTTAAAGAAATGTTTATTTACAGTGGCTTCGGCTTCTCAGTCATGAGCTAGAACAGAGCAAAGAGGAGAAACTAACCCTGTTCAACAGCCCAATATGGGTCACAATGAAAGGGGCTGATGGGAAGGAAGAAACATTAAGATCCATTTATCTGAACATCACTGCATTACTTTATTTAATTTACATATGCATTACCGTTCAAAAGAGTATTTGATCAATAGTAAAAACAGTGAAATATTATTACAATTCAAAATAACTGTTTTCTATATTAACATATTAAAATGTAATTTATTCCTTTGATGCAAAGCTGAATTTTCAGCAGTCATTACTCCAGTCTTCAGTGTCACATGATCCTTCAGAAATTATTGAAATATGCTGATTTGGTGCTCAAGAAACATTTTATTATTATTATCATCAATGTTGAAAACAGTTGTGATGATATTTTTGTGGAAACTGAGATACATTTAATTTCAGGATACTTTGATGAATAGAAAGTTCTTTACTATCACTTTTGATCAATTTAATGCATGTTTGCATACTTGAAAAAACTTTTAATTTCTTAAAAAAAAAAAAAATACTGACCCCCAACTTTTGAACAGTAGTGTTCATTATTAAATATTAATTTATAATATAATTGTATAGATAATGATAGAGCCAAAAACATATTTCTTAATGCACTTTTTGGTTTCATTTATTAATCATAATTATTTATAAATCAATTATTATTCATACATTTTTTATTAGAGATTTTATGTATAATTCTGTATTTTTATATTTATTTTATTTTTGCATTATTTACTATTTGTGATCCTGGACCACAAAACCAGTCTTAAGTCGCTTGGGTATATTTGTAGCAATAGCCAAAAAAACATTGTATGGGTCAAAATGAATGATTTTGCTTTTATGCCTAAAATCATTAGGATATTAAGTAAAGATCATGTTCCATGAATATATTTTGTAAATGTCCTACCGTAAATATATCAAAACGTAATTTTTGATTAGTAATATGCATTGCTAAGAACTTCATTTGGACAACTTTAAAGGCGATTATCAATTTTTCAAAAATTGACCCTTATTGACTGGTTTTGTGGTCCAGGGTCACATTTTATGTTTGTATTATTATTACTTTATTATTATTTTAAATGCAGTGGTGGTCGATCATATTCATCTTCCTTTGTTCCTGTCCGTCTTGCAGACAAGTGAAACGTCTAGCCGAGAGGACGGACAGCAAACCGACTAACTCAGGCACCACTGCTCAGGACTGCAAGGATTCAAAGGCCGTCGTCTAGGAGCTGAACCCACCCCCCGAAAGCCCCCACGACCGCCGCTGCATCCTTCTACACGTGTCAACATGCAATATGGTGGATGTGTCCCATGATACGAAATGACAAAAAATGCATTCTTTGAGTCTATGTGAAGACAACACTATCTTAACACATTTATTTACTCTAGAGTTAACTAAAAATAACAAGTAAGTGAACTTAAAAAAAAAAATAGATAAAAATGTAATGCATGGTAATGTTAAAAAATCAAGGGAAATTTCCCCATTTGATGTTTGAATATTATTTTCACCTTGCCTCCAAGTGATATGGATTTAAACAGGCTTATGTCATGCCATTAGTATAAAAAAACATTATTGGGGAAAACAAAGTTGTGTATCTTATTTGGGGGGTTATTATTATTTTCCTTTTCTCTTTAATCTATGAATAATAATGCTTGAGTATTTAAAGATTAACCGATGCCAGTGCTGTGAAGTCGTAGTTGTTGTCTTCATATATAGTCACCCAGCTTATGCTTATGCCAGTATGCTGACATAAAGCATTCATCTATCTATATGGATGTATATGACTTGTAGAATATCATATGCAGAGGAAAAGAAAAACATATACTACGAGTATAAACCAATGGATAAAACTGATGCTAGAGGTCAACAGCACAGGATCACCTATGATACAGCTGATCCATAGTGTCCAGTTGAACAAACAACCCTATTGCCTTCTATAACGCTCCTTGAAATTAGAATTTCGTTAAAGATTCTTGACAGAAACACAAGAGGCCCTGAATAGGTATCTACAGGTACGCCTCTTAAGCGAAGTCCTGTTTGATGATTGTTTTCTTCTCCCTTCAGTTTTGTCCAGCACATCTACACCTATGTTGTGTGTTGTATTGACTCGATACATCAACTGAGTGCTTTTAAGGACTGCATTCTGGAGAAAAGAGAGGCGGTGATCAATAGAGACAGGCTGTCTTTTCAAAACGGTCGAGTCGTAAAACAATTATCTGAAGCTGGTAACTCGCTGGAAGAGCGTTTTTCTCTTCCTTGAAGATATACGGTGTAATAACAGACATGTCAGTTTCTTAAGATGCAGTAAAATCACATCAGTTCATGTCGAAACTGTTGGTGTCTGTGGTCTTCTTTCCCATTTCTTTTTCCATGTTTTAAATTTTGCAAAATCCTAAACATTTTTAAATATTTCCAGGTTTAAATGGGAAAAGAAAATCTTAGATGTTCAGTTGTATTAAATGCATAATGTGCATCTGTGATATCGAACATGAGTTCTTAAAGGGACAGTTCACCCAAAAATGAAAATTATTTACTCACCTTCCACTTGTTCCAAACCTGTGTATGAGTTTGTTTCTTCTGTTAAACACAAAAGAAGATATTTTGAAGATTGTTTGTAACCAAACAGTTGACAGTAGCCATTGACTTCCGTAGTATTTTTTTTCCCCCATACCTAATATCTAAAGAAACAAACTCATTCAGGTTTGGAACAACTTAAGGATGAGTAAATGATGTCAGAATTTTCATTTTTGAGTGATCTATCCCTTTAAGATCATGTTCTTTGTAACTACACAACCATGTTTTCATATTTTCTTGCCAACACATGGGTGTGAATTAAAAACCACAGGCGATTTGCTCAAGCATATGGCGTAGCGCTGTGTCATACTAAAGGGACTTTAAGACTCAGTAACACATGAACTTTCATCTATGAGTCTTTCAGCCTGTTGCAACACAGCAGTCTAAAAATAGATCCATACTATGAGTCCATTCAGTATCACCAAGGAAACGGTCATTCATTCATAGTTCGAGGAATGAATGATCACTGCCATATAAAACCAAGCTCAACAATTGGAAAAACAAGTCTGTTACTGAATGTGTGTTCACATTAAGCGAAATTTCATTGAAATCTGCAAAGGTAAATCTTTCGCCCATGTAATTTAGCAAATGTATCGCACCATGCTAAAAACACTCTTAGCACCTTTACAATTGTAGAGCAACAAGCCATTTAGAATCCTAGCAAATGTATTTGCAATTCCCTACAAAACACTCAGAACACCTTAGCAAAAGAACAGCAACATGCTAAAAAACACTCCCTGATAGCACACGTACATCATGGAGACGTCTATTTGCAGTCCATCTGCAAGACATATTTTTTTACGAGTGTTTGCTCATCTGCAATACGTCTATAGGATGTTTCCTATCAGATGTCAAATAGACGTTTAGAAGATGTCTTAAAGATTTTTATGATTTAGAATGTATGTAAAACTGACATCTTAAAGGGATACTCCACCCCAAAATGATAATTTTGTCATTAATCACTTACCCCCATGTCGTTCCAAACCCCTAAAAGCTTTGTTCGTCTTCGGAACACAATTTAAGATATTTTGGATGAAAACCAGGAGGCTTGTGACTGTCCCATTGACTGCCAAGTAAATTACACTGTCAAGGCCCAGAAAAGTATGAAAGACATCGTCAGAATAGTCCATCTGCCATCAGTGGTTCAACCGTAACGTTATGAAGCGACGAGAATACTTTTTGTACGCGAAGAAAACAAAAATAACGACTTTATTCAACAATTTGTCTCCTCTGCGTCTCTTCGCATCACTGTAGCGCAATTTTGGAGAATATCCGCTGAACGCAAGCAGCGTACGCTATTCTGTGTCAGCCGCGACACAAGGATATGTTTTCTACGTTTCTTTGATTTGAACAAAATATGAAAACAGCGCCAGCACCATGGGGGTAAGTGATTAATGACAACATTTTCATTTTGGGGTGGAGTATCCCTTTAAAGATGTCTATCAGATGTTTGTAAACAGCAGATGCTTTCCAGACGAAGAGATCTTTAACACATCTTGCTGACGTACGTGTGCTATCTGGGCTATAACAACAGTAATGCATTGAAAACACTCAGTACATCTTAGCAAAACAACAGTAATGTGCTAAAAACTCTTAGAACACCTTAGCAAATACAGTGGTGTGAAAAAGTGTTGGCCCCCTTCCTGATTTCACATCCCGCGGAAGAACATTCCAACCGGAGCTACTTCTCTAAGTTTATGTCTCTGGCGATTCACGCAGGTATGTGTTACTCCGCAGCGGTGACGACCCGACCAGGCTACAATAGTCCAAATATAAGTACTTATTATAAGTGTACCGTAGTGATTCGGAATAAGACAAAAACGCGGTTTGGAAGGTGAATTCATGATGTACTCGCTCATTATATACATTTTGCTCATTTTGAACACAGAAAAAGTTACATAGTGCTGCTTTAACAAGTGTTGTTCAGCAGAATCAGGTATATAGTGTACTTCTCAAATATACAGCAACATGTTAAAAACACTCTGATGACCTTAGCAAATGTTTAGCAACCCCCGAACACCTTAGCAAATGCATAGCAATATGCTAAACTCGCGATGCCTTTGCAAAAGAATTGCAATGTGCTAAAAACACTCAGAACATCTTAACAAAAGAATAGCAATGTGCTAAAAAAAAACACTAACGCCTTAGCAAATGTATAGCAAGGTGCTAAAAATACTCAGAACACCTTAGCAAGCATACAGCCACCCGCTAAACAGCGCTTGTTATCAAATGTGTAGCAACATGCTAAAAACACTGGGCACTTTAGCAAATGTTTAGCAACTCCCTATAAACCAGACAGAACACCTCAGCATATGCATTGCAGTATGCTAAACTCCAAACACCTTAGCAAAAGAATAGCAAAGTGCTAAAAACAAATACTATAGCAATAGCAATGCGTTAAAATGACTCGGACCATCTTAGCAAAAGAATAGTCATGTGCTAAAAACACTTAGAACACCTATGTAAATGTATATTAAGGTGCTAAAATCACTCGGACTACCTTAGCAAAACAATAAGAATGTGCTAAAAACCAGTCAGAACGCCATAGCAAATGTGTAGCAACCGCTCACGAACACCCTAGCATTGTGGTATCGAGTTTTGCGCAAAACTGCCGTTCAAATTTTTTAAAAGTGAAACAGTTCAGTTTCTATGTTGATTGAATGAGTGTCCTGTGGGTCATGAAGAAACGTATCGTACATCAATGAGACAGCCTTTGTAATTATTACTATCAATTACAGATAGCTGTTTTAGTGTGGAAGTCCATCTTTAAAAACCACATTCAGATTGGGGAAGAAGGATCTCATTATGAAGGCTGATGGACTGACTGTTGTTGCCTGTCCTTGTAAATGACCTCTTTCTCCCATTTGTTAAATATATTCATGTACCGATAATCATTTAGCACATTATGAATAGTTTTACGTGCCAATGTCCCTGAAATGCAACAAGATCATGTTTTACCTTTAATGAATAACTGTGGATGAGGTTAAATATGTCATCCTTCAAATGTTATGCCGTGGAAAGCTACTAAAAATCATCACCAATGAGAATTGCGCTGTCCCGTTTGACCCATATAATGCTGTTAACTCAGGCTTTCTTTGCTATAGGGCAACAAAGTTCATTGATTTTTCCACCAGAATTAATTGTTATCGACCTTTTAAAGTTAAATTAGTGGTTATGTCACTCTGCTGAGTGAAAGGAAAAAGAAATCCATTTGTATGCGCAAAGGAAACATTTCATCCTGTGTTTTCAAAGCTATGAATTTCTGCCACTGTGAAGCTTAATTATTTTCTTAGTGGGGAGTTGCTTCAGTAGACTGATCCTATCTTGGCAATTACTGCAGCTGCAGGTTTTGATGTGTCAATATTTCCCTGTCTCTGTATTAACACTAATCTCTTGGTACGGACCATCAGTCAGGCCAATTAATCAGACTGAAACACCTCCACTGCTGGCTACTGACGTCAATTGCTTTAAATCAGTGCTTTTCAACACTTGAAAACCATTGGCTGCCCAAAGAGCTGCATGTCTGCAGTGCCTCTTGCTATGGGTTTGTGAATGACTGACCTATGATGAAGTTTCTGAAATGGAAACATTTCCTAGTTCAGTGGTCTAAGTAATTGAAATCTCAGTTGTTGCTAGTTTTGCAGGTAAAAATGACCCGAACTGGTTTTAATACAATTCCTCAAAATTATAACTCTTAGAATCTCTTCTGTTCACCACAGCTCGATCAAAAATACAGTAATATTGTGGAATATTATTACAGTTTAAAATAACTGTTTTCTATTTTAATATATTTTTAAATACAAGTTATTCCTTTGATGCAAAGCTGCAATTTGTTGCAGTCATTACTCCAGTCTTCAGTGTCACATGGTCTTTCAGAAATCATTCTAATATGCTGATTTGGCTTCATAATTTGGGGTCAGTAAGATTTGTTAAAATAAATAGATTTAAAAAATCCACACACTACACTAAAAATTACACTAAAATCCATGCCAGCATTCAATTCTTACAGCTTGCCCTTTTCAAATAAAGGATTTGGATGTTGACTGGTGCTCTATTATATGTTATTGACATTCATTAGGCGGTGGTTACAAAGCAGAGATCTGAAACTATTCAGCTGCGCGAAATTTCAAGATCATTTGTGATTTATAACTGAAACAGAGGCGTACGCACGCAAGTTTTTTTGTGCATACGTTCGTTCTCTGAATCACACATATGCACATTTGAGAAATGGTTGTAAGATCAAATGTAGGACAGTTTCTACGGAACATTTTATAAATGAGGCCCGATGGTGTTCAGAATGGCACGCCCTCTTATTCACTCATAGTCTACACTCACTCAACATGTAATAGATGTGATATTTGGAGAGAAAAAAAATACATTTTTGTGATTTTGCCAACCTTTCAAAATTGAAAGGTTAGCAAAAGTTATCACTATGAGTAGGTTGATCTCTTATGAAACACTCAAGCTGTTGCTGAACTGTTCAGTAAGTATGAGGCATGGTCATTCATAAGCTTAGCAATTGAGGACAGGCCTCCTCTCTTCCTGTTATGCAGTTCCCCTTTAAGTAAACTCACTTCACAATCCCTTTCACAACTAGAGATAATAGGCATTTTGAGCTGAATGGAACATCGGAGTCAAACAATTCTAGTGCTTACTCCTCCAAAATCCCTCTCATATGCTGTGTGATGGACAATAACGCTGATGTGAGTACAGTAAGTGCTTTAAGTAAGCTTTCACTTCCAGCATCTCATGTCACT